ACATATTCTCGATATAGGCTGTCCGATTGCAGTAGAAATTGCCTTGTTTTGTTTGAACAGGGACGGTTCAAATATTTTTGGCTAGGGATACATTCCATGACAATACATACATGAGATACATTTCTTGTACTGAATTGTGGAAGTGTGGTAATTGTAATTAAAGTGAAGCCAATTTAAATTGTTTTGAAACATGCTTCATTTCAAATATTACTTATTATTACTGAGCAAAAATGTATGTATATAAAATTATATAGTTTTGTTATAGCAGAGAGAAGTCGTTATAAAGACAAGTTATCAGGGAACTATTGCAATTCGCGAAGAACAACAGCTTTAGTCAATTTAAGCTTCGTTAGCTCTGCCAACGATTTTGTTCCTAATAGCACTTAGTAGGCCATAGGGAGTCTGATTGGTGCCCCTGTATTACAACCGTAATGAATTCATTCAGTTGTCCTGGAGACCCGTTAACGGTGGGTTATTCCTTAATAAAGGCAAACTTTTCAGTGAGGCTTAAAGAGGCTGCAATGTTAGTTATTCCCATGATGGTAGGAGTTAGGTTAGGAGCAGGTCCCGACGCGGTGGCAGGGAGGGGTCCTAATGCGTTGCCGGAATAAATTATCTTCTTTCTAGTAAACTAGTGGCGTTAATCTCTGACCGTGTTCTAGTGATTCTAAAACGTATTTTCTTTGACAATTATTCTGTATTATTTATTAGTTATTTATTGTGATATTATTTTTAGAGTTTTTCCTTGTATGTGTATTTATTTATTAATAGTCGACAACATGAGTGCCAACCGAATTATAAGTATAAGAGTTTCAAAATAAAATTTAATCATAATGAAAATATTTCTAATAATCACCGACACGATGGAGGTATTTTATTTGCAGTACCGGCCAGCTATTTTTCCCAGTGATGTTATTAGCTAAGAAGTAAACTGTTAGTATAGTTAAGTAAATAGTATTCTTAAGTAAAAATTCAAAATAATCTTAATTGACTATCATTTTAGAATAGACAATAAATAAAAAATGGAAAATGAGATATTAAAAAATATTAAAGTATGTACTAGTCTTTAGAATAGTATGAGATAGGATAGAGAGATAGTGACAGGAAATCACCGACTCCGTGAAATTTAGGGTGAGAGAAAGTTCGGTGGAGGACACGTTTTACAAACTATTGCAATCCTTGCATTATACACGAAAATAGTTGTGCATAAAGTAGTCTGATGTGCACCTAGGTAGGAATAGAGGCGATAATTTCTGGTAGATCTGGTCGGAGCAAAGAATTGAAGACGTCTTAACAAAAAAGAAGAATTTATGTTGGTTAACGAAGGATGATCAGGAAGAAATAGCTGCTGGAGTATGATGGCAACCGAAGATTGGGCTCCTAATTTAAACCTCGTAAGGCAAAATGCAGAAATTGCTTCTGAACTGACTCAATACGAACCTGTAAATTATTATTCAGCGAAGACCAGATGCAAGAGCAATATTCAAGAATCCAAGTACACATTTGGCCTCTTTAACGATGGTAGCTATATGAAAATTGAAGTACAATTTGGAATCAAAAAGAAGGCTCAGATCATTAACTGTTAGTATACGTTGCAATGGAGTATTGTCGATGGTATAACTGACTAGGTAAGGTTTGTAATACACCTTATCTTGTCAGTTATACAATCGGTTATATATATTAAAGGTTATAAACATATACTTTGAACATTTTAGATGCAATTGATTTTCCGAACACCAGAGTTGCATAGCGTTCAAATCATCTTGTAGATGAAAGTGATATTGGGGATCACTGTATGAAAGAAGAGTTTAACTTCTTCCGCATACATAAGTACATTGGCATGTGATATATCAGTAGGGAGATCGTTCATAAAAAGAGTAAAAAATAAAGGTCCAAGCTGTCTACCTTGAGGTACACCAGAAGTTACGTGAACCTGTTTCGAGGCAGTCAGTCTCAGCATGACTCTTTGGGTTCTACCTTTTAAAAACGAAGAAATCCAAGGCAAAAGAGACGAAGGGAAACCTAAACAGTCAAGTTTAAGGAATAAAAGTTCATGGTGCACAGAGTCAAACGCCTAACTAAAGTCAGTGTAGATGACATCAGTTGGCATTCTAGAAAGGAAAGCATCATTTACCAAGAACGTAAATTCAAGCAGGTTGGTCGTAGTTCGATTCTTTACGAATCCATGTTGAACAAGGGAAAGAACAGATTTGCAGAAATGATGCAAAGGATTTATTTTTTCAAATAATAGGGATAATAGGGATTGCAGGTAAAAGTAATAACATAAAATTCTTTTAAAAGGTGTGGAAAGTCAGAATAAGTATAGAACTAGAGCAAATAATATTATGAGGGACAGACAGAGGAGTAAGTTGATTGGAAACAATTAGTAAAGAGGTTAATTATTAGTAAAGAGGTTAATTATCTCGTTGCACTGAGAATTCCGAAAAAAATAAGTTTGACTTGGCTATGAGGTCAATACTCGAACCAGACTTATTATACTTTTTAAAATATTTAGACTTAATATTTCTTAAGTTTGATAGTCTGGGAGTGAGTAAGCAAGCTTAGAAGAAGCAATGGAAGGGATTGAGTTGCGAATACATTCATCTTAGAGGGAATTGAGGGTAAAATAAATAAACATTAAAAGCAATATTCATATCAACCGAGTCATACAAATATGACCAGTCTGTTGCATGCATGCGCTGATTAAGCCTGGAATAGTTTCCTTTGCGAATGCAATGGCGGGTTTGTTGGACACTGACAAATAAAAGCCAAAAGGATTGCAATTGAACATTATAACCCCTAAAGTATGGTGATATGCATTCTGAGAAACAGATATAAAAAAGGTAATCGTTGACAAATACAAGATTCAAGTGTTCTATTTAATGTTAAAAATTGAATTGAAAACAACGAAAGGTCTAGGGGGTATTCGGTAAATTAAAATCACACAACTCGATAAATGGGTCATTATCACGCTCCTGTGTAGAAACTTCTTTAATACAAGTTATATGTTATATGTGTATATATGAATATCAGAAGAAGTTGGACAATGAATCTGTTCGAAAAAACTGCACCATCAGATGAGGTTGAATTTTATCATGTTTCTGCGATTATGTCTGAATCAAATAATGTGCTAGCCATAAAAAGATTTTTAAGTTTGTGACATTTATAGTAGCCTTGTATAGAAAGGACCCTCAGGGGTGAAAGAGAAAGGCTGGTTTCGCTTTTTGCTTTAATCTTGTGAGGAGGGAAAATTAAGTATCTCAAATGATTGGCAACGAATCATGTGAATCATTAATTTTGAATGACGCTATTTCACATGCAGTGGAGAAATGAAATTTAGATATAGATATGTTAGCAGAATGATTTGCTAGCAATACAAGCAGCAATTGAATCGTAAGTAGTGTCAGAAGAAAGCCGGAAAGCCTGCTAACAATCTGGACTATATTGTGCTTGGGTCTACCCTTGCGGTCAGAAAATGGGAATTACAGAAACAGGGATTACTCCAGGGCATACCGAAGGGGTGATATTCGGTCAATCCCTTGGAGAAGGCAATGTCAGCAACATTGAGGATAAATCCAAGTTGCTGGGAACAGCCAAAAGTGGCGTCGGTGCTTCGGAAGAGGTTGAGAGAAAATGCAACAATGAAGACTCTAACCGGCGATTAGGTGGAGGCTTATACTTATATTTGCTTAGCAGTTCGAAGCTCGAGTCGAAATTGATTTCTCATAGAATTATACATTCTGGAGAAATAAATGCATATGTAAGTATGCATGTGTTTGGAGTCTTTATTTTATTTATTTTTTCCTTGAATACATTTACATTGCTCCGGATGTTGCGTGCCAAGTCAACGGCTGCTAGCCAACAACTTGATAATGTCATGGTGTACAACGGGGGTAACGGGTTCGAATTTGTGCTCCAGTTGACAGGTTTTTGTGCCATGGTGAGTGAGGTAGCTTCACTGGAGGAGCATAGAGGGGATCGAGTTGGTAACTCCCGCGTGTCTGTTCCAATGCAAACTAGTGTATTTGTATACTCTGAACCCATTAAATATGGATAAAAACGGTATAATGTATTTGTGTAAATGTATGTAACAGGCAAAAGGGTGCATCTCCGACCCCATAAAGTATATATATTCTTGATCAGCATCAACAGCCGAGTCGATCTAGCTATGTCCGTCTGTCTGTCGGTCCGTCCGTATGTATGAACGCAAGGATCTAAAAAACTTATAAGAGCTAGACGCTAAAAATTATTGTTGTGGCTATTGAGTAGAGGCGGCAGCGAGTAGTGCGGTCAGTTGCGAGTTCTCGAACCCTGCCGAGGAAACTTTTTCTTTTTTAAAGTATCTTTATTACTACTAAAGCAAACGAGCGTGTAGCGCAAGCTCCATTTGGGGTTGGAAAAAGATGGTTCAGGATATCCCCTAGTCGGGAGCTCCCGACTTGAACCTCTGGCGTGTTTTAAGTTATCTTAGTGGAACTTTGCACAGGTCCGATCGGATTGTAGCACTATATTATTGAGCTGCCATTAGAATGATCAGACAAAAATTAAAAAATGTTTTATCACGATTACTTGACCAAACCACTTATTGTTATTTTTTTTTTGTTCTTCTATACTCTACATATAAGCAAAATCTTATCAACATCGGGCCACTTTCTCATATAGCTGCATATAGCATAGGAACTATCGGTCAAAAATTAAGTCTTTGTATGAAGAATTTTTTTTTGTTATTCAAGATAGCGACGAAACTAATCATTTTTAGTTTCAATATGCACATATATGCACATCTGAAAAAAAAATGGTTTCTACATCGAACTACTATATCAGATAAACTTTAAGAAATAACCGGTCGACAAATTTGTTGTTGTATTTTTTTTTCACTATCCTCCACACATATCTCCAAAACCATCGATATTTTACAAGGGTATTTAATCTTAGCCCTTCCTCCTTGTGCCTATTCATAATATATGTATATTTATTTATATTAATATATTTTATTATAGATCACGAAATATATTGGATGATTTTAGAGAAGCGTATTATTGGCTCTCTCAAAACACTGCAGATGATGCTCGCATAATGTCTTGGTGGGATTATGGTTACCAAATTGCCGGAATGGCCAACAGAACAACGCTAGTTGACAATAATACTTGGAATAATAGCCATATAGCTTTAGTCGGCAAAGCGATGTCATCGACTGAGGAAAAGTCTTATGAAATAATGACATCTCTAGATGTGGACTTTGTTCTAGTAATATTTGGAGGTGTGATTGGCTATTCTGGTGATGATATAAATAAGTTCCTCTGGATGGTTCGAATTGCGGAAGGAGAACATCCAAAAGATATAAAGGAAAGCGATTTTTTTACCGATCGTGGTGAATTTAGAGTAGACGCAGAGGGTGCGCCTGCTTTGCTAAACTGTCTGATGTACAAATTGAGCTACTACCGCTTTGGGGAATTAAAATTGGATTACAGGTAAAAATAATTATTTATAATATTCTGTTTTACACATTACATTTAGATCTCATAGTTTTAATTATATGGAATGTTTTAATTATTTCGCTAATGTATAACGTTTGGATTATTATTTGTTTGCAAACTAAATAGACTATGAATTTTGTGCATTTTGCCTCAGTTTATTGGTAAGCTAAACATCCGATGTTTAAATTCTCGTATATAATTGCGGTAATTAAATGAATAAAATGTATATTTAAATGGGTTTAAACAAAATTAATAAATAACGACAATTTTAATGTAGCCGTAACAATGTAGACAAGCCTCTATTGCTATTCATCCGCCTATGTACATTATGCAAAGAAGTCAATAAGTTTTGGAGGAATCTTCTTTAAAATTAATAAGATTTTCCAGCCAATATTCTAATCAGTTTATAGATGTTTGAAATAATAAGATATACAAAAACAAATATGAGTTCCTTAGTCTGTACACAAAAAGGAGCTCACACGAACTCGTACGCCTCTTGATACGCTCTATACGTAATGACTGTGCTTCCTTCGGTATCTAAAAAGCGAAATATTCTAGATATTACATACTAGAGCACGCAGATTAATTTTTGGTGTATCTAGCTTTTATAAGCTTTGAGATAAAGTAAAAAAACAGGATGCCGATTCTTATCGATCTATCTGCGCGTGAAGAACGACAACCAACGTTTACAATATCAAGTCATTGGCTCTTATCGTTTTTGACGAAAGCTGTTGATTTAAATCAAGAATATACACTCGTTAAGGGGTCGGATACCTTTCTTTTGCCTGTTTCATACATTTGCGCAAACTTTATACCCTAATTTACTTTTGCCTCTAAAGCTGTGAAAAAATATAGTTTTTTCCAAACCAGAAAGCGGAAGAATACGGATGTGACAGATAACTCTAGAGATTTTTAGGACGGCAGTATTGCAAGCGTAGTCATTTAACATAAACGCTATATCTTTATTTGGCTATTGTTATTGGTTTGAAGTATATATATATATTTCAACTTCTCTCCGACAATCTTCTTCGAGGTATTAGTTCTGTTGCCGGTCTGCACTTTTAACGCAAAGGAACTGGATTAAAAAAATTGACATGACAGGTCTGAGACAATAAGCCGTCTCGTAATTATATGACGCTCCACCTTGCCAGAAATCAAATTGAATATGATGCTGCAAGCGTGGATGAAGTGCTATTATCTCTTTCATTTGACATAACGGTGTTTAATTTAGTTATTCTTGCTTCCAGATCACACATTCAAAAACTGAATATATGTCAGCGGTATTAAGCTGTTGACTTGTAGTAGTTGTGAATGGTAAGTCACAAGTAGTTTTGCGTAACGAAGACTCAATGCTCTTATGCTATTTAGCTCAGTGCTGAGGGCTGACTGTTAACGCAACTAAACACACCAGTTCATCGGGAGATAGTATCACCTAATTGGCCGTTGTCTGTCTGCCCGTTTGTATGAATGCGTCAGTTTAAATATGTTTAAGTTTTAAACGATATTTCTATAGCCCGCACATATCCAGTTTGTTTAAAATAAAAAAAAATCGTTCGTTTTTATGAAATGGATATATCATTTCTTTGAGCTTATAATACGCCTAATTTGGTATATAAACTCTTGTATAGTATTTACGGATACAGAAAGTGATACATTTTTGACGCTTCCGCCCTTTCCAGCTAAAATTGTTAAAAATTCATTTTTAGATCCATATGCATGGGCTTTCATGTCCTGAAAACACCAAAGGGCCAAGGGGAGTAGCATCACATCCCCAGCGTAATTTGCGCAACAACTGGCGTACGGGTTTTTGGTTTTGTATATAAGGAAGAAAGAATGTTTCTAATGGCGGCTCGGCGCTGCCAGGCTAGGGCACTTTTACTCGTTTGTATTAAATTTAATAAAGGCTGTTTAAATAAAAGACAAATGCAACGGGGTTCGCTTAAACGAACCGCCATTCGCTTTTAAACAACGCTTTCACATTCTTTTAAATCGTTTGTGTAGAATATGTAATGTAATATGCATGTGTATGTTAATTTATTTAAGTTATTTTAGAGTTGCACACAGTATTTTTGCTATTCACGAACTGTCTACAATAATATTAATGCTAACTATGTGCTAAATACAAAAACCAATTTTCTCGTTATTAGGGGGCCTTCTGGATATGATCGGACCCGTAATGCTGTAATAGGCAATAAAGATTTCGATTTGACATTTTTGGAAGAGGCATATACAACAGAACACTGGTTGGTTCGAATCTACAGAGTGAAGAAGCCATTCGAGTTTAATAGACCATCCTTAAAGGCTAAGGATAGGCTTATTCCACCAACAAACTTCATATCTAGAAAGGTATTTTTTACTATGTTAATATATAGAAATCATATTTTATAATGAACTCAAATTTCAGAACTTAAAAAAACGCAAAGGATTAATTCGAAATCGACCAATTGTTGTGAAAGGAAAAAGAACGTTAAAATAAGTTACATTTATTCAAATTTGACTGCAATAAAAACAATGAATAAATAAGTTTGTTTAACTTTTTTAAACCTGCTAAGGGACATGGTTTTCGATGTGGAATACAGAGCACGTCAGTTGGCAAGACTGGGAACTAACGATCTCTTATCTGCAATACTACTTTTTGACGAGGACTTCTTGGTCGTTCTTGGCGACTTCAATCTTTCGGATATTGCTTGGTTATCGCCAATAGATTCTACCTTTCTGTTGCCCTCTATGTCACAGAACTTTATTGATGGTACACATAAGATGTCCCTATTGCAGGATAATGGGGTGCGTACCACAAGAGACACATCTTTTGATTTGGTAATTCTGTTGGATACACTCGACAGTTTGTGTACAGGATTGACCCTTTTACATCCTGAAGACCCCATTCATCCTACTTTGGAATTGGTCATTGATCGACGAGCGGTGCCTGTTCAGGAATCGAAATTAGCGGATCGTCCGTTGTTTTCATAAGGCAGAATTTGGCAAGGTCTTATTCTGAAAGTCAATGATCTTATTCTGAAAGTCGACTTCAAACTATTTTTATTGTCTGTAAACACAAAATCTTTTCCGACCATATTAAAAGAATCGTTAATAATTTTTCTCCAAAAGAAAGAGGGTAAATCTATAGTCGAAAACTTCGAATTCTCTACTATACCCAAAGCGTTTAAGAGAATCGTACCTTTTCAACTGCAACATGTATGCATCTCAATTATTTCACCATCCCGTCATCGGTTCGTGAGGCGTTGATCACAGCCACTAACTTTCATGAGCTTACTTTCCTAACAATTGATACTTTTAAGAAAAGAATGGAGACCTACGACATCTATAATGATTTTACAATTGCAAATTACCAAAAATTATTCTTTCTCGGCTTCCTAGTCAATCTTTTAAACTGGTTCTCAGAATATTTGTGTCAAAAGGTCATTTTCAGAAGTTCGTTTACTAAATCACCTGAATGATTTCTGGGGTCCCCTTTTGCCGCTTACCTGTGCAGTATTAGTCCAAGCCATAACTGGATAATAGCTGGTAGGCACCCGTGCGGCTAGATTCCAAGCCTCCTATTGAGACTTGTAAAAGTTGTCCCGATGAGACAGTGACACATCTGTTATACAGCTATTCAGTTCTTCAGCAAAACAACTTGTTTTGAAAATGTATTAAAGTTTTTATTTTGTTTTATACCCAGAACCAATTGAAAATGGATACAAAGTTAAGAATGGTTTGGTGTATCAGTGATGCTCTGCGTCGTTTCGATATCCGCCTGAACACAGGACGGTCAGGAAAAAGCTAAATTTGTATGCCGCAAAACTTAATTTACTTACTTTCCCTGTCCGACCATGACCTATCCCACATTTGTATTCACATATGTATGTTGTTTATAAATTAGTTTGGTTCGGTTGGAAGGAATGAATATTAAAGTGGATGTCAGATATTAATAATATTTATTTCGGGCCGATTGCCTCAATGGTATTCAGGTTAAAAATAAAATACAAAGAAAGCTAAATCTAAGAAGTCCGGCTGCAGAGCGCTGCTGTGGCCAAGAATTGCAGCGTACAGGTGACCCAATTTCTCAGCGGATGTTTCGCAATGAGCTGTCCTTGACGGCTTGGCCCGCCGCTGGCCGCTGCGCGTGACGCTGACCGATGGTAGTGGGCACTTTGTGTTTAACTAATACACACATGCAAACATATTTGGTTGCCCTCATAGTGCTGAAACTGACAATACATACTATTTCGATTTCGTGTTCGTTCTCAACTTTGTGAAAATCAAGCTGAATTGGTGCATTTTGTTATATGACGATACTCATCTTAGTATTTATATTTTGTTTGATCACAGTAACGCCTATGAAAAGAATATTCTACAATGCGTGTGCTACGCAAATAGACCAGTGGATCTAGCATTTGATGGTCAATTAAATTATCAAGTAAAGCCTTTAGCTAGCGTTTTAAGAACCACATAAGATCCAGAAAAAAAAATTCTGCTAATGGAACATATTTTAGTACTTAGTAAAGTAAAGTCAGCTTGCATCAAGGCGAAGATGGCTGAGCATCAGGATCGAGATAGCTTGCTATTTAGCCCTCCTGGCTATAAATGCGATAATAGATGTCACAAACAGTATAGAGTTAAGTTTTGAATGGACAGCTGGACCCGTGAATGAATAAATAAAAGTTTTTGAAAAGTAAAACCCGTGTTTGTTATTGGGTTCAATGAGGAAACAAATTTGGTCATCGGATTAATATATCTCACTAGAAGTGAAAAAGAATACCACACAAGTTGAATGCTTTTATAATTGGAAGGTCGTAGACATTTTGAAGAAAATAAAATTGTAAAGAGGTGTAATTAAGAATTGTCGTGCCCGGAATATGAAAAGGTTAATTCCGACAACTTGATCTTAGTTGCTAACTAATCGATTTAGAAAAGAAAACGATGCGGGACGTGTTAGGTGTCACCTCGTTGAGGGTTTATTATCTCTTGAAATTGCAAGAATAGAATCTATAAAGCCTATCTAAGCATAAAAGTATGCTGCTATTCTCATCGCTTGGACGCAGTATGTCTCCAGGAGTGCAGGATACTACGGGATGAACTTCACGCCCTCTTGCTTAATATAAAGGAGAGTTTAAAGAGAACTTGTCCAGTTAATCGACTTGTATTTTTCGATGTAGTCATAATGCTGGCTGCAATTACTAGCGAAATCCCATCCAATCACTTTATTCTGCGACATTGGCAATCCTCTGACTGGGTACTTGTTATTAACATAGTTGTAGTTAGCATAAAATGTACGAAACACCAACAAAGCAGATTTGCATACTAGGAGTTCCGAACACTGAACAGTAATTGTAAAGAAGAAGAAATATGTATTACTTCCGTTCTGATCTTGAAAACAAAATGTACATACTCTACATATTGAGCCCACCAACAAAATATATGCATATAATGTTCTACATAACCCATGTAGCCCAGACCTGCTCTTAACACAACAAGTAAGATGTTCTAGTCGGGAGCTACCGACTAGGGGATATCCTGAACCCTCTAATTCAAACACCAAATGCAGCTCGCGCTACGCGCTCGTTTGTTTCAGCAGTAATAAAGATAAATTAAAAAAAAAAAGTTCCCTTGGCAGGGTTTGAACTCGCAGCTGACGGCATTTCTTGCTGCCACCTCAACCCAACAGCTACACCAGCAAAAAAAAAAATGGTTTCCTCGGCAAGGTTTGAACTCGTAACTGATAGCCCCGCTTTCCGCCGCTATTATTCAATAGCCACAGCAATAATTAAGTCTTAATGAGAAAAACAAATTAAAATAGCAGTACAGAAAACAATACAATCGCAATTGCAATGCTGTTGATAGAACTTAAAGCAGACGCGCGTGAATGTGTGTGTGTGTATATGTATACAGAAACTCTTGGAATTTGCGCTTGCTGTTGCACGTGTTTGCAGGCCAAAACACATTTTCTTTCGTGTTTCTTAACCGATCTTGATGAAATTTTCCGTAGAAGATCTTATTATACCATAAAATATTCGTGTATTTTTAAAATGACAATTGCATTTAAGTTGTGGCTTAATTAGTTAGGCAATACAAGTGGGTTTAGTAACATGATTTATAGCTTTTAGGTGGTAGCAGGGAGGTGGCGATACTTGCTATATATATACTATTCTAGAAGCTACATGTCAAGTTTGGTGACTCTAGCTCTTATTATTTAGGAAAATTGCTCAAAAAACAGAATTTCGATATCGATATTTATCGATTACTTGGAAACGGGGCAAGTAATCGGAAACAAACTCGATCTGCGCAGGGACTAGGACGACCTACAGCTAGCTCTTATAGGTTCTGAGATCCTTGCGTTCATACATACGGACAGACGGACGGACGGACGGACGGACAGACAGACGGACATGGCTAGATCGACTCGGCTGTTGATGCTGATCAAGAATATATATTCTTTATGGGGTCGGAGATGCTTCCTTCTGCCTGTTACATACATTTGCACAAATACATTATACCCTTTTTACCCATTTTCAATGGGTTCAGGGTATAAAAATACGAGGAGCTGTGAAGCATTCTTAACATTTTACTTTGTCGAAGATAATCTTCAACGAACGCAACAAATTTCAGCTTGCTAACTGCCAAGTATGGGAGTCGGTTGCAACGTGGTATGCGGGCGCAATTAGCTATGAGCTGCAAATCTGGTACCCACTTAAATGCAATAGCGGTGGACAAATTCGTAGTGGGTGATATGTGTAAGGATTATGAGACGCTCTCATTAGAGCAAGAGTTGCGAAAATCACCTCTCATGGAGGTTTGACACTAAGACTAAGTCCACGGCAACGAAGTTGCCGAAGGAGTCATTATTTTCCAAAAAGGGTACAACATACAGCGCGGATCCTAATAGCAACAAGAAGAAGCCTAAAAAGCATTGTGGATGGTGTAACCAAAGACAAGGTAAACACTAAGATGAGTAACGCCATACAACAAAATGCTACTATGCAGCTTGATTTTTTGAAATTTGAGAACGAAAACGAAATCAGTATCATTGCGTTCTCACAGCCGAAAGAGCGAAAAGCTAAAAATAAAATTTACTCGGAGCTTCGGCTCTCTGAGAGCCGTGCAAGCATTTATGCTTGTATGTGTGTTAGTATACATACATAACAGCTTATTTGAATGTGTTGTTATTCACAGCTCTGGCTTTAGCTGGCAAAGAAATAAATTTTGTTAGTTTTCTAGCGCTGATCATGCACCTATCCCAAATTTGTATTCACATACAATCACGCAGATCATAAATATTGAAAAAGTTGCTAGGAACATACCAGCGGCAAAATATCTTTAAAAAAGCTAGATCTTTGCCACTAACATGGAAAAATAAAGTTCAGTAAAAGCTAAGGGATCTGATTAAACAAGGCATGTTGGAAACAATAGGCAATTCAGAGTGAGCACACCACTAATACCTATAATTAAACCCAACGGCGACAGTCAGGTTTTTGGTGACTACAAAGTGACAATCAATAAATTTCTAGTTCATTTGAAAAATC